AGGATTCACTTGAATATAAAATTCCATTTCCTTTTTTATTGTTTTTGTTGTTTTTAAAGGTAGTCATATTAAGACTTACAGTGTTTTTCAAAGTGTGGTCCTGAACTATTAACATCAGAATAATCTGGAGTTGGCATTGCACTTGGACCTGGGCAAGAATGGTCCTTGGTGAAAGTCCATCTTAACCCATTCTGGCTTTCCTCCAACCACACCCCTTCCCATGAGGCTAGGAGTCTGGGGGGGGAGGTAAGAGGGATGTGCACCAGGAGCCATGACCCTGTTCCAGACTATGTGCCAGATACTCAGGAGCCCTGATTCTGCTAAGTGCAGGATCAAGACAAGGATGCCCATTGTCATCATTGGGGTAGGTGTGGTGTCCACTCATGTCAGCATGAGGCCTCTCACTTGTTGGGAGGGGCTGGGAGCCAGGCAAAGAAAGAGTCCCACAAAAGCTCTCCTGTGCAACTCTGGCCCTGACCTTCCAGTGCATAATATTTCCAAGTAGAGAAGTTGTTGTTAGTTGCCATTGAGTTGGCTTCAACCCATGGTGACTCCATGGATAACAGAATGAAACATTGCCTGGTCCTGTGCCACCATTACGATTATTGGTATGTTTGAATCCATTGTTACAGCCCCTGTGTCTATCCATCTTATTGAGGGTTCCCTCATTTTACCTTACCAAACACAATATCCTACTCCAGTGATTCATCCTTCCTGACGACACGTCCAAAGAAGTGAGCTAAAGTCTCTTCATCTTTGCATCTAGGAAACAGAAGATATTTTACTGAACAGTTCATTAACTTATATTTGAATTTATGGAAATATGGGATTTTTCCACTATCTGTACTGTTATCCAGGGCCCTGAAAATATCAAAACAGGGCTAAAATGCACATTCCCAGTTGCAACCCAGACTTTCACCAGAAGCTTTGGGGTGCAGCTAAGGAAATCTACATTTTAACCAGTTCCCCCAGGCAATTCTCATGTGCTGCTTTGAGAACCAGTGCTCTAGAGTTGTTCTTAGTCTCAGAAGAGATTGTGTGCAAGGAATTCTCAGTGGTTGCTTCTTCACAGGCTGGGGCTTCAGCATGGGGACCAGTTACCACTT